CTGCTTCTCCCTCTCCCACTCCCCCCTCTTGTGCTCTCTCTCATTCTCTCTCTCAAATAAATAAAATCTTTAAAATAAATAAATAAATAATCATTGACCTTCTTACCTTAGATTTCTTATACCCTCAACACTCTTGCCCCTTTTTCCTAGCAAAACTCCAACCCTGATATACCAGCCTTCTGATTCCTCTACACCGCACTGAGGCAGCCTTGCCTGAAGAATCTCACTTTAAGTTCGTGGCCACCCCTTTGGGGCAGACCCTTGTCTGCCACGCAGCCCAACTATATTCCTTATGTTATTCACACTCCTCTTCCACAGAAGTATTTCATCGTCCTCCTTTTCAACTCTCCTCCGCCCCAGCAACAACTATCTTTCTCATTTTGCTGAGAATGGAAGCAACCAGAGGCACAGGGACAGAAGCTCCACCTCTGCCCACCCACCTCCAGCTGCCTTCTCCTTTAGTCACCAGGACCCAGCCATGCTTCCTACCACAGCCCGCCCTCCCGCTCTGGCCCTTACCTCCTCGTCTACTTGAGAACATCACTCTAGCGACTCAGCTACTCCTCTCTTCATCAATCTTTCCCCAGCTGGCTCATTCTAAAGGGGTGGTATCTTTTTCATATCCTGTCCTTTATTTAATCATTATAATAACCCCACCAGGCAGGTGTGATTTTCACAATTTTACAAATGAGAATAATTCCCTATAGGAGAATTCCAGCTAATAAATGTGAATGGAGTGAAAGAAGTTAAAAATAAGTAGTCGGGAAATGACCCTGGATGAACCCATTCATTCAAATTCTGATGGCAACCTGACTAGGGAGAAACCTGGGTGGCCCCACCTGAACCCAGTGGACAATCTTCCATCACTAAAAGCGGGAGGAGCACACTGTGTTTCTCTACAGAGTACTACTTATGAAGAGCTCTTATCAAAAGTGTTGAACTTGGATTGGATCAAGCTTCTAGAGCTCATTTCCACTTTATCTGCAGGAACTAAGGAACAAATTAATTGCCACCACAAAGCGAGAAAGTGAGGCACCCTACAGGACAACTGATCTGCAATATGTCAATCTCATGAGAAAAAGGTTGGCAGTAAGATGAAGACTGTTTTGGAGTTAAAAGGAAAAACAGTTGTAAGGACCCAATGCATTAAATGGACCTCCCTAGACCCTGATTTGATCAAACAGACATTTTAAACAACCGGGGAAAGATTCGGATTAGAGAATATCACATGACCAGCGCTAATTGTGTGAGGACGGCGCTGTGCATTTCCACATTTTGGGGAGATGCACACTGAAGCACACGGGTGTGAGATGACGTGGTATCTGGGACTGGGGCCAGAAGCCAGGGTTCTACCACTGGAATGTGAAGGGTCTCCTCTTACAGTCGGCCTGGAAGAGGCCAGCTGGGACTTGACTCCCCACATAACAGATGCGGAAAAGGCTCAGAGAGAGGCTGAACAGGAATTAAGCCATCCACCTGCCACTGCACCCTCAACCCCATGCCAGGTGGCCTGCTGACTTTCCGAGGCAGGGCAGGTGCAAGGAGAAGGGGGGAGAACTGACCAGTTCGGCATACTTCTTGCACAGAGCTGCGAGCTTCTCCTCTGGGGTGCTCAGCGTGTTCAGTGTCTGCATCAGCAACGTGATCTCCTTCCCTACAAAGCACAGGGAGCGAAAGCATGGACCCCTTTCTCTGGGGCTCTCCCCAGGCCCCCGCTTACACTCTTAGGCTTCGAGGCAGCCCTCCACCATTATACTTTATATTGTTTGTTGAACAGGCTGCTGTCCTGTCAGACCGTGTGCTTCATGAGGGTGGCCGCCAAATCACTTCTGCCTATTCCTGTGACCCCAGTGCTGCCCGGTACTGTCCCTAGTGCCCATCTCAGAGGACGTGCTCCACAACCGCTTGACAAATGACTGAGGCTATGTGGAGACTCCGTGGTGAACACTGGGAGTGGGAGAAAAAAACTTGCCTGCTCTACCAGCAGGAGAAAAAAAGACATCCCACTGGCCAAGTGCTACTTGTCGACGCAAGGAAGGCCCTTCTGAAAGAGAATGGATGCAAAAAAGGAATAGGTCTCCTTGGGAACGACTAAACTCTTGTCAACAGAGGCAGCCACACAGTGAACTTTATTTGTTCCCTCCCAAACACTGAACTTTAAATCAAATACATCTTCCAATATTTGATCCCAAGATTAAGAAACAACAAAAACAAACAAAAAAACCCTCTTTCAATTAGGATAACAGGCAGAGATGCGGAAGTAAGGACTAAGACATGGATATATCACTTAACTTTGATTCTTTAACACTCACACTACCTCCCCGCCCCCCATAACTTTCTCTCACTGTCTGTGCCTGAGTCAAGGGCTCTTCCTTCTGTCTCCCTAGAGGGCTGCTGTACAGAGCAGAGCAGCCAGCTCCTGAAGTGTCAACCCCAAGAGGCCCAAAAGATCAGTGTGGAGACTGCAAGCATTGGCACACAGGCCACATCCAACCCACACGTGGGTTTTGTTTGGCTCCTAGCACATTAGTTGCCAATTGTTAAAAATCCAGAGAGATTTCATGTAACTCTGCATAAAAGGGGCAAAAAAAAAAAAAAAAGGCTGGCCACACTTAGCCTGTAGTGTTACATGCTATCAGCATGCTGGGACCAGAGGGCAATCACCCCTTCGGATGAAGTAGGCAACATCTTGTCTTCATAGGATCCCCTGTCTAACTTGGCTTATTTGAGTTTTCAACCCTGGTCTAGTCCAAATCTTACTGCAGACAGGTGAAAACTAAGGACCAGAAAGGAAAAGGTCTTGCCCAAGTTCACAGAGCAGGTTAGAAACAGTGCTGGCTGACACAAGAGCCCGCCCAGGCCTCCTGCTCTCCATTTTCTCAAAGATGGAGCAGGGTACATTTTGGTTCCCATCTACTCCTCAAGGCCAGAAGCCCCTGTGCAGTGAACAACCTACATGCCTCTGTTCTATGGCCCACAACCCTGGCTTGGATCAAACTAATGTGACTTGCTGCTCTGGAAAGTAGTTTCCTCTGAATCCTGGCAGAGCAGGTTAGCCCAAGGAATGTCAGGTCCAAATTCCCCCGCCTCACCAGCCTCGCCAGCAGCTGCCCTCTGCTCACCCAGACCCTTGGCTTTCTTCTTCTCCTGCGGCCTTCGGTGATCTCGGTCTCCGACCTCGTCACTTGCCCGGATCTCATCTGTACCTGGCTCCCCCTTGGAGGTCTCCTTCTCACCATTGACTACCGGGGTCTCTGGCTCAGGCTCCCCATTCCGCGAAGCATAGGTCCGGGACTTGTCTGCATCTTCGGGTTCAGCAGGCTCACCCTGTGCCCCATCCTCACCTGGTCCCCCCTGATTGTTGTCCACACAGTATGTACTCAGGATGTCTTCCAACTGGCGGCTCAGCTCCTCAGAGACATCACGGAGGGCCCCAGACTGAGCAGTTTTGGCTTGTGCTCCTACAGCAGGGCAGGATGAGGGGCAGAATGAGAAACAAGATGGTTATTCCACTGGCTGGGATTTTTCAGGCCCAAACTTACTGGTTTGGGTTAAACGTTGCCTACCTTCTTTAAGCCTCAGTTTATTCACCTATAAAATGATATAATTATTTCCCACTACTGCCCACCATGTCTGTTTTGAGTGTGAAAGAAATCAAGGAAATAAAGCATCCAGCACATAGGGATGGCATGTACCTGGAGCTCAACATCTAGTCCATCCCCCTTCTCCTCCCTGCAAAAATCACTTCTGGCTATTAAAGTTCCAGGGGCGACTGGGTGGCTCAGTTGGTTAAGCGGCTGCCTTCGGCTCAGGTCATGATCCCAGGGTCCTGGGATCGAGTCCTGCTCGGCGGGGAGCCTGCTTCTCCCTCTCCCTGCCTCTCTGCCAACTTGTGCTCTCTCTCTGTCAAACAAATAAAATCTTAAAAAAAAAAAAGTTCCAGAAAGGCCTCCAATGTGAAGAGCAGTTACCCACTGGTGAATACATATATATTTATATATATATATTTATAGTATTTATAACCTGGGCTGGCTGAGTGTCTCATTTGATTGCCACCTGATTTAACCCTGTCAAAGCCTTCTCTCAAGACTTCTGTTCCAGGGGCGCCTGGGTGGCTCAGTCGTTAAGCGTCTGCCTTCGGCTCAGGTCATGATCCCAGGGTCCTGGGATCGAGCCCCGCATCGGGCTC